CCTACCAACAGCACATCTACCCTACCAACAGCACATCTACCCTACCAACAGTCCATCTACCCAATCAACAGCCCATCTACCCAATCAAGCAGCCACCACCTAAAGAGGGTTGGATTGGGTGGATTTCAACCCACCCCTAATTTTGATCCAAAATTCTATTTRTAGGAAAATTTATTGAATAACGAGTGATTTCTCGACCAATCAGTAACAAATCCACCCAGCCAACCAAGGAAACGAGCAATTACCCAAACAATATACCGTCCAACCAACCAAGTAAACACCACCCAAGGAAATAAGCGACAATAATCATTATTTGGAAATATCAAAATTACACATACCTCCAGAATCAATAGCATCCATCAGTAGTTCTTCCACAACCTTAATTAATCATATAGATAACATTAAATTATCTTTATTCATGCAATAATCAATACAAATATTTTACAATTTAAATTATAAAAAAGGGGAAAAATATCAACAACTAATTAATAATACAATTAATAGAATAAATTAAGAATACTACAATCAAAACTGTTGATATAACACCTTAAGTTTTTACTCGTTTGCTTAAAAAATAGCACAGGTCCTCAGATCGTTTGCTGGAGGTGTTTTCCACTGGAGATCGTTCTGTAAAATCTCAATGCATCCCTCAAAACTTCCCTATATAATTTATGTGGGAGTTTCTTTTTTATGAATATTAAATACTAACCGCTTTCTCTTGTCTTGACTCAATCTTGATAATCATACAGATAAAATTTCATTATTTTTATTCATGCAAAATTAGTACACATATTTTCACAACTTGAATTTAAAACGAAAAATATAAACTATATAGTATGATTCTGTATGATTGTATAAAGTAAAAAAGAGGATTGAATTTCAGATTTTTACAATTGTTGGTATACAACTAATTGAAGAAACGTTGTCGGGTCCAAAAAGGTCAAATCATAGAAGCTAAGAAAAGGTACTTGGGAAGACAAACAATTTGGCTAATTTCATACAAGCAGCTCTCCAGCATAAAAGACTAGCATGCTGTTAATCTTACTAGCTCTACTTGCTTTACCGTGCACCATGTTGAACACCGTATATGCAAATGTAATCCCAATTTAGTGGTACTCAAAGTCCCTTTCGGTCTTWGCTTCTATGATGTGACCTTTTCGAACACGACTACGTTTTTTTAATTAGGTGTAAACGCTGCGTCGAAATCAAGATATGWCCATTGACAAAAGGTTGTCGTAGACTGGACTTCGTAGGACACGATGCACCTGAACAGGTTTCTGGGTCAAAATCAATGAACTGGCAAATTAGGCATAGCAACAGCTTCCAGTATAGTGTCAATTTGTTTGTGCCATTATTCTCTTTTTTTAGGAACTCAAGGACAAATATTGAACGTTGTATTTCCCGCCATGCATAATTGAATTCCCGTGATTTGGAAATTTTTGTCACACATTATKCGGGCGGGGGAAGGTATTTTTATTTTATGAATCTGAAATACTAACCGCTTGCTCTTGCCTTGACTCGTACAACTGATATTGCGGTTGTGGAAGCTAAAATGTTAGATTTATGAAAAATCAATTTTTAATACATAACACTGATCTTTTCTCAAATATCTGCTATTAACAGCACAAAAAATATAGGATTTGTTTAATTCGGGCAATAAGAAATGCATAAAGCTATAAGAAATAAATGTGTCTCGAAGAAACACTCACAATGTCCATCGATTTACGAAAGTACTGTCTACCTAGTACAGTGATTTTAATAAGCCCGTACTGTGTAACAAACTGAACACAAAGAACACAATAAAAAAACATACTCAATAAAGAGTAATAAAGTGTAGCACATTAGAATGTATTTCACGGATTTCAGAAAGCCACTCAATGTAAGCAATGTGGTCAGTACAGTCAAGGATCTATTAAACGGCTCTCTATTCAGCGGCCAAACTGCACAAGGTGGTCACCTCGTCTTTCCTCTAGATGAAGTATAGTAGAGGTTTCGCTGTAGTAAACTACTTACTAGATTCTCCATTACAATTGCTGGTTCCTTAAAAATAATAAAAAAATAAAAACTGTTC